GTGGTCCAAGAGAAAAGATTGATTCAATTATTTAAGATGAAAGACAGAAATAGTAAAGGATACCTGAGCTGAGTAATAAAAGGTTCTGAATATGTGCAAATAGTTTTCTAATATTGTCAAGAATGGAACTTGGAGAAAAAATAGCATAGAAGTAAAGGGAAACAAAAAAGATGAAAGAAATTAGGTGAACATAGAACTATAGGAAGAGAAAGTATGAGATGTGTATGAAGAAGTATTAGAAGACAGATTACTGAACAGAATGAATGGCAACTAAATGTAAGGACAGAGGAAACTGGAAGAGAGTGAAAAGAACTATGTCACAGAGTGCTGCAGAAGTATGAAAACGAATGGTAGAATGGTAGAATGATGAAAGGTATTATATAATGGGCATGCACAGAAAAGGGTAATTCCAAGGAAATTCCTCCCCTGACACGTGGTCCGCGGCCATTTTCCGCCCCTGACACGTGGTCCGCGGCCATTTTCCACCCCTGACACGTGGTCCGCGGAACACCACAAAAAAGTTAAAATTTAAAAAGTCAGAGAAAATGAAGAGTGAAGTTAATTCAGGAATATAGTTAATGAATTTGATGTAGAAATTGAAAGAAAAATTCTATGCAAGAGGAACAGTGAATGTAGGTCTACAAATTTGGACAGAAGTATAAAAAAAATTAATAATGGACCTGATTGAGAATTATTACTGATTGTAGAGAATGCTAGACAGTGCTTCAAGGGGTATGGAGCTGAAAATTAATATATCAAAAACCAAAGAAAATACAGTGAATGATTGGAAGTTATATAAATGATAATAAAAGCAAGAAGATGAATTTGTATAGCTACTAAAGATAGGAAAATAGATGGAGCAATAGTAAGACATGCAAATGCTGGTGCAAAGGAAGACTGTATGGAATTAATGTTTAGTGAACATTAATATTTCTGTATATAAGAGCATCCACCTGCCTCAAAACAGGGAAGTGAGAGTTGTATATGTCAAAAGAAACTTTAAAACTAAGTTGAATACAATGGGAATGGAATTATGTGTAGTAAACAGTAAGAGATAATATTAAGAGTGGATTATGATTGTAAATTGAGCACAGAAGTGAGTAACTAGTATAAAAGAAGTACAGTGGAACCTCGGTTTATGAACTTAATTCGTTCCGTGATTCTGGTCGCACCCCGAAGGAAATTTCCCCATAAGGTGCAATGTAATTACCGTTAATCCGTTCTGGTGTGGAGGACAGGGAGGCGGCTATTGCTTGGAGGGAGAGCCCCCCACCCTACGGCCACGGTGTCGGGGGCAGAAAATGGCCGCGGACTATGTCATGGGAGGGAAAATGGCTGCGTATCCTGTTCGTACCCCAAGGCGGAGTTCGCAAACC